GTCGGCATAATAGTCTTTCTAAATATTGTTAAAATATCAACTTAATTTTTTTTTTCTTAAAAGACAGTTTATATGTAGATTTTTTTTGTATGAAACAGCTACAATTAGAGAAGTAGACGTTGATATTTGTCGGCAGGAGCTTTTCAAACATTTGTCTCCCACAAGAACTAGAAGACAAAAAGGAAACTAGTTCTCCTTTTAGAGGTTGGGAGTTTTGGCCGTTAAATCAAGCATCTTACAAAGCTCTGGATACAAACTCTTCCTGATCGTTGCATACACCTCACCGCTCCATTTCTTGGCCGCCAAACTTTCTCCAAGGCTCACCGTAGCCTCCACCACACCTTCCGCGCTATCGTGCGCCGCGGAGTCCACGATCCCTAGAGCCACCGCTTCTTCTCCTTTGAGCTTCTTCCCACTCAGCAACAACTCTCGCCTCGCAATGCTCGTCCCGATCTTAGCCACGACCAACGCTGAGAAATAATCTGGCACGGGAAGCCCAATGTCCACCTCGCTCATATACAGAACCCCACGGTCTTTCCTCATGTAAACATAGTCGTGACTAAGTGCAAATATCAGCCCCGAGGCGGCCGCGTGGCCGTTCAAGGCGGCTATCGTGGGCATGGGGAGTTCGAAAAGTGCTGCAACCACCGGCTTAAAGGATTCGACCATTTGATGCATCCGACCTATAGCTCCGGATCCAGCTGATTGTGCCCAAGCGAGATCGAAGCCGTTGGAGAAGAACTTTCCATGAGCGGTTGTGATGAGGACGGAACCACGAGTGGATTCAGATTTGACTTGATCAAGAAGGGAGAGAATGGTGGCTATCGTGTCGGGGTGTAAACGGTGCTCGTCGTCGCCGGTTAGGGTTAGGTGAAAGAGATCGCCGCGTTTCTCTAACGTACACATGGTGAAGGATTTATTGATTTAGGATGTGATAAGAGGAGAAAGAGTTAGTATATGGAAGATAAGAGAGCCGACCGTATATTTATTAGATGTAATTTACCACCTAAAGGTCTTAAATTTGGTAATCTTCCCAACCATTTTTGGTCTCACCGTGTTATTAAATGCAGAACGAGACAACATGTGACTTTTCTTGCTGTAAAAGATATTGTAAGAAATTGTTAGTTTATTTTGGGTCCCTTTATTTTGTACCTTACTACCATTTTCTCCTTTCGCAACTATAAGTATACTTTTTCCGTACTCAGTTTGATGGGTGATGATGATAAAGAATTTATCAATGGTTAATTAAAAGGGGTTTTTTTGAAAATTACCCTATTTATGTTTGAGAATTTGAATAATACACTCTTTTTTTTTAATTTTTTAAAAACTAACTCTTTTCTTATTTAAAAAGTCTTTTTTATCCGGATTTGTTT